ACTCGCATCACAGATCACAGGACTCGACCATTACATGTAATGTGCGTATGAGTACACCGCGCGATACAACGCAGAGATAGCTCACGCCTACGTGAACAAACCCATATCTAAACTTGCAGTCGCCGCGGCTTGTATCTTCGTATGCAGCATAAACTTCCAGCATCCGATGTCGACGTGGTCAATTGGGCCATGCGTCGTGCCTCGGGTCACCTGCTCGTGGCCGTCCGTTTTGCGACCATCCATAATGTAACGCTTCGGCTTAAGCTGCGGGGAACTGGACACCCAAGTGAGCACCGAAGACTCTAACGTCTTTACGCCGACTCGATGGCTACTGTACGAGTAATCGTGTCGGACTTGGTGCTCTCTGCGCTGTTGATCCTAGCACAAATGCACTGGCACGTAAGCTCCTCGTCACGGGATGTATCAGATGCCTTCTGCATACATAACGCCACGCACAACGCCAGTTGGGCTGGATCTTGCGACTCTGTCGCGTGGCAATTACTGCAATGGGTCCACTGTATCTGGATGTGCATTACGAACGTGCCGAGTTTGCACTTTGCACTTTGGGTGTGGCTGCACTCCACAATTCGCACCATGGCGACGACCCGCGTGCACGTCCGCGCCCTCAACGTCATGGCACCGACCAGCGACAAGCTCTCGGTCGGCAGCGAAGCTTTTACGATCTACGTGCTCGTCGTGGCGTGCCCCGAGACGCGCGCGTGGTGGATGCTGCAGAAGCGCTACTCGCAGTTTCGAGCGCTGCGAAGCGAACTCGCGGTCGCCCAGCGCGCCGTCAAGGCCAAAGTACCAGTCCTTGCCGCCGCCATTGCCCACGCACTCGACACACCGTTTCCTCGCAAGCACCTCATGCTGACAACCGACTGTTTGGTTGTCATCAACCAGCGCAAGCGCGGTCTGCAGCACTTTGCGGGTCATTTAGTCGCTCTTCGCGCCCTCTGCCTGCATTGGAAATCCCACGACGACGACGACAAGGTGCGCCAGCTCGTGCAAAAGACTGGTGCGCTGCTGACGGACTTTCTGCACGCACCACCGGTGGACGGCCCAGCCCCGACGGGCACTGACGCGCTCGACTGCTCCATTTGCTTGGAACAATCGAGTGGCGACGACGAGACGAAGACGCCGCAATTGGCGCTCGTGATGCCCTGTGGCCATGCCTTTCACGATGCGTGCCTGGTCAAGTGGTTCGAGACCGACTGCTCCTGCCCGCTCTGCCGCACGCGTGCCACGCACGGAACCGTTGCGTAGGGCGCGCCGCTATTTAATTAAATGCACATTGGTACTTGTCGTAACGAAGGCGGGTGCCGAGTGTTGCTTCCATCATCCTTTGAATGTCTCTCGTTGGTCGCGACCGTGCCTACAGTGTACTAGAATGCGCACCATACTAGATACACTGAACAATATCCTATTGCGTCGATACGACTAGTCACAATATGCGTCGCAAACATGTTGAGTATGATGATACACAGTGCGAGCCTTGCCCCTCAGGCCAACTAGCGCACAACCAAGCAAGACGATCTTTTCTGGCTAGCTCGCGTGTGATTGGTTGTCTCGTATCCGGATGACGTGGCAGGGTGCATGAGCCTCATTTTTGCCGTTTCGAGACCTCAAGCCATGGAATCATTGCCATCAGCAGCAATCGTCAGAACTAGCAAGCGTGGATGAGCCAACTATCCATGCGTTTGCGCGCCCGCTTCGTCCAGCGACCGATAGACGATACTAGTATAGCGTGGCGCGTGACTCCAGTGCACAAACGACGACGCGGGCGCGCCCAACAATGCCGATCGCACACGGCAGCAGCGACCAACGTCTTTATGGAAGCTCATCTCGTCCATGAAACATCTTCGGTATCCGAATATGATGCTGGCGCGGAATGGCGGCAACCCCGATTCTGTTTGACAGAATCGCTTCCAACCAACAACCGCGTGGAATGTGGCAGGTACAGTTGTAATAGCCCAACGTAGGTCATATAGCTGCGTCGAACCCGTGATCAAATCATTGAAGTACGCGGCCAAGACTTGATGCGTCCAATCGGTGCCACATACGCCGATTCTTCTCAGCGTACAAGCGGCCTTCTACTTCTCGCTCGCCAGTACGTCAACACCGACGGCGACTTCGAGCTTCTCGATCGGCTGCGAGCCAAGCATGCATAACTATCTTATAGAGACTGTAGCTGCATGAAGTATACAAGTATATTGAAAAATATCAAGAAGACTACCCTGCCGCAGTCGTTGCTCAATGCTCTTCTACCAGTACGACAGTCGCTACTACGCGGGGCCAAGCGCGACTTCGAGGCCGTCATACGCCATCTCGACATCGAGGTTGGCTTCGCGCAGCACATCCGCGCGGATCGAGCGATTGTGCACATCGTAGTCAAACTCGTGGCTCATGCCCACAAGGTACGTCTTCTTGGGCCGGAGCAGCTTGATGATCTCGATCGCCTGCGGCAGATTGAGGTGCGCGCCATGCACAGCTTGCAAGTAGATGGCGTCAATGACGAGCACGTCGATGGGCGCTGGGTTGGCGACAAGGTGCGCCCGCGTCGTGCTCGGGAGTTCGTGGAGGTCCGAGAGGTACACGAAGCGCGCGCCCACCTCTGCGCCAAACTCAAATCCGCTGCAAAGGTACCCTTTTCCGTGCATAACCGGCAGCGCCGTGAACGCGACGCCGGCGGCATCGAACGAGCCAAAGTCCTCGAAGACCTTCCAGTCGAGTTTGGCGGTCCAGCGGTACGAGCTCGCGTCGGCTTTTAACGGCGGTAGCATGAGGTAGTCAAACTTGGGCCCGACTTCCGCCTTGGTGCGCGGATGGCAGTGTACGTACATGGGCTCATTCGCCATCTTCTTGTCATCGCCTCCCTCGGCGCAGCGGGTGAACACTTGCAGCTCGCGGACGTCGTCCAGGCCCAAGCACGCGTCGGCATGGCCATGCGTGAGAACGATCGCGTCAAGAGACTTGATGTTTTTCGCCAGAAACACCTTGAGAACGCTGTCGCGGAACGTCTTGCCGCAGTCGATGAGCACGTTGCGCCCGCCATAGCGCACGAGGAGGCTCGGGTTGTTGCGCCGGTTCTTGGAGCTTGGCACCGCGTGGGCATGATGGCACACGGCGCAGTTCGTTCCGCTGAGGAGGCATTGCATCCACGGGATGCTTGACGACCCGCCCGTCCCGAGGAAGATGATTTCCATGTCACGTCGGTCGCAATATTGGCACGGTCGCGATGGCCGAAAATACGGGACTTGCGCAAAAGATCCATTATGATTGGCTGCGTAATGCGGAAATATACGGTCTTTTGACGATCTTTCGTCTATTTTCACCCAACAGTTCCGTGGTCCCCGGCGCCGTGCATTTCCTCTTGTGGGACCTTGCTCTCCGAGGTGACCGCATGCACGTACCTCGTACATCGGTGCGTACGGAACCGTAGCAAGCAACGCCTTATGCGCTTGTACGGCCCTTGGCAGCGCAGATTCCACTTTCAACAGCGTTTTTTTATCCATAGTCCAGTTGTCTGAACCCGATATCTTTGGACCTGACGAAAGAACCGACGCAGCAAAATGCCTGTTGCCGCAGGCAAAGCGCGGCTCAGCCACGTACAAGGCAGCGAGAAACATGCAGTTCGCCAACCTTCCGATGTGCGCTGACAGCGTTGAGCGCACCAATATGGATCTCCTCCGCATCATTTCCACAGAGCTTGTTCCAATATGAAGAGAGCTTTTCAAAGTATTCAAGTCTCACTGTATAACTCTTATCGCAGCTATCTAACCTTGGTGGCTACCGATCGGTGCTCAGCATCCGCCCTTGCTCTCAACGCGGCGCGAACTGGGCGAGGTCCTAAGACCTCGTTCGACACATCCGGATAACCCGCCGGATGATGTGACGTGGCAGTTTGTAGCGCCAGATTTCGAGTGCGGCAACAATGGCAACGGACCCCGGCGACTGCAGTTGCGCGACTCGAGCCCAAGTGGTCGACCTAGAGAAGGATCATCTGTGACCTACTGCGAGCATCCAACGTGCATTTGAAAATGCAACCCACCACGCGCATCGAAGCGTGGGGTGGATTATCCGGATTTGTATCCGGATTGCCAAAGCTCGGTGTTGGCAGTTGTGGATCATGAGCTCCGAGGCTGCGCTCCTAAAGGACGTGACACGGGCGCTCGCGCAGCTACGCGACGTCGCTGGCGCCGAGCACATGGACAAGGATGCGATCGAAGGTAGCGTTTCGGTGCTCTTCCGGCGGACGTCGGCGTGCGTGGCGGCGTCGCGGTCGGCGGCCGAGCTCTGCTGCAGCGCGCTCTTCCAGCAGGCGTCGACCTCGGACGACGCCGACGACGACACGAGCCTTCTCGCACTCTTAAACGACACGAAGCAGTCGACGCAGGCGTTCTACTACGTTCTCGACTACCTCGCCACGTTTCTCAAGAAGTTTCATCTGGACGTTCGCGCAGCGATCGGGCCGTACTTGGCGCCCCTCGTGACGACGTGCCGGGTCCTCTTGACTTGCACGCTGCCCTCCAAGACACGCTGTGCTGCATCGGACCTCGCCAAGTACATCATCAAGCACTACCCGGGCAGCGTTCGCCCTGCCGAGTGCCAGCTTCACGCGTTGACGTCGCTCCTCTTGGCCGAGCTCAGCGCGACCAAGTGCACGCAGTCGGCCAAAGGCGCCTTTCTCGAGCTTCTTGGTGCGCTCTTGGCGCAGTTTGCCAGCGACATGCAGACGTACGTGCCGACGTTGCGTCACTGGATCGAAGCCGCGCTCGAGAAGCAATTTACGAGCTCGTCTCCCGGTAGTTTGCCAGTCTCTTGGTCTGGTTGATTCAATCCGTGCTAGAAATGACGCTTCTCAGCGGTAGCTTTGTGTGCCTGAACCAGATTTTGCGCATCGATCCCGTCATGACTGTGCACCAGCGCGACCAGCTCTTCACGTTGGCCTTCCACTGGCGTGTTCGCATCGGTATATCTTGGCATGTAGGTACATTCAGCGGACGCTGGCGACGACGATGGCGGGGTCCCTCACACGCCTGACGTTTGTCAAGTCGTGCCTCACGCTGCTCCGGTTCCACGCCTCGAGCTTTGAGGCCAATTTGGCCGCCGATCCGTTCGAGCTCTACACTGCGCTGCGGTATTGCTGCGCCCATAGCAACAAGACGGTATGCTGTCTTCTTGTTTCAACGAGAGAAGTGACCAAGCACGTCAGATCCGCAAGCCCGGCTACGACGCTCTGCCCAACGTGCTGGAGACGGTCGCTCGGGCCCTTGGCGACACGACGACGACGCCCGAGCCGCTGCGAAAGCGGCACTTTCAGCGCTTTCTCAAGGATTTTCTCTCGGGCTTGAACGACGCAACGAGCTTGGACGCACCGTGCTTGGCGCTGACCGGGCTCACAGCCTTTGCGCCGATTCTGCATCTCTTTGTCGACGAAAGTGCCCAGCGCAAGATTCACAATCGGCTCCTCAAGTACGGCGAAGACGTCCTTGCACTGCGGGACTCGGTCGGCTCCAAGTGGCTGCTCTTGTGCCAATACACGCTCTGCTTTGGCCGGTTTGCGACCGAGGTGGTGTCGAGGTTGCCCGATGTACAGTCGTGTCATACATTCCGTAGACCGGTACGCCGGACGTCACGGTCGCGTCGTTTGCGACCGACTTGGGCTGTCGCGTGCTGGACCTCTACCCGCACGCGGCCGTGTATACCAAATTCCGCGCCGAACTCGCGCTGCTCTCGCTCTTTGCCGGGTTTCCTCAAAGTGTCTCGGCGGTGGTCCGCCACGGCATGCTCCTCGTGGTCTCGAATCAAGTCGTCGTCACCGAGACCGTACACTATTTGCATGGTCGCATTGCAGACACATTGTCTATGTGTATGTAGACGCTGTTGTACCACCCGGAGACAGGCGCGCCGGACACGCGGCTGCTGTTTGTGTACGAAAACCTCTGGAAGAACGTCGCCAAAAAGAACAACCACGTCTTGGACGCGGCGATGCTGGAGCTCTTGTCGCTTCTGCAGCACTTGGACGTGCGCTATGAGACGTCGGCAACCGAGGACGACCCCAACAGCGAGACCTCGTACCAGGTTTGTCTTCTTAGTTGCAAAAAGAGCTGAAGGGTTGGGTGCATGTAGCCGATCGTGCCGCGCGACCACACGATCTTACTCAACTTGACCGAGTTTGCCGAGAGATGGCTTGCGGGGCCGCGTGCGGTCGCGTTTGCGTCCTGGGTGCCACTCTATTTGCAGTGGATCGTCGAGGTGGCCGGGGTGTCGCCGCTCGTGTCGGCCGTCTACCGGCTCGGGCGCCTCTGCGGCCTTGCAATCACGGCCCTTGGCTCGAATACCGAGTCCCTTGTGGGGGTCCGTGACGTCTACAGTCGCTTCATTGCGGACCTTGTGGTCGCGCTCGAGCACTACCAGGACGAGCTCCTCCTCTCAGCGTGCCTCTGCGTACTCGCGACACCGATCGCGTGGGCCGACACAGCGCAGATCGTACTCGCGCTGCAGAAAGCGCTCGTGCTCGGGCTGCAGCACGCACCAGCGTCTGCGATAGCCATGGAGGTGCTCGAAACGTGGCAGGCGTCGCGGCGCCTTGAGGACGCGTACCCGGTGCTGCTGCCGCTTCTCGGGCCGTACTTGGAAGCCAATGGGCTGCCGCTGCAGCGCCGGCTCCTCCGCTGGCTTGGCTCGCTCGGTGGCCATGCGCGCTTTGTGCTGCCGACAACATCATCCGCGGCAACCCCGCTGCTGTCGCCCTTGGAGCTCACGCTTGGCGTGTCGGCACGGCAGCTGCGCGTCTCGCTCTCCAAGCTACTTTCGCCGCTCATCGATCTCGCTTTGCACGCGATGGACCGTCCGACCAAAGCCGCGGCCGCCGAAGCCCTCCACGCCATTGCGCTTCTCCTTTGCGGTAAGACGGCGACCTTGCCGCACGCCAAGAGCCAGAGCAGCGAGAAGACGATCTTTTTCTGTCATTGGCAGCTGCTCTTGCCCGTGGTCGTTTTGCTCGCCACGGACGCCGACAGCGTCATCCGGGCGCTCTTCCACACGCTCCTCTTTCAGCTCGTGCGCTGGTTCAGCGGCGTCGCTGAGCTCTACCCGTTTGAAGTGCAGTCATTTTTGGACGCGCTCTTCCGGGCGCTCACCGATGTCGATGGCGGCAGCCGTGACGTGGCCGCCCACGCGATTGCAAGCTTCCTCAAGTACGCAGCCAAGCAACCGGCGACGTCGCTCGTCTCGGCGAGCGCGCTTTTCGACCAGCTTTTTGCGCTCTGCGACCACCCCGGCGTGACCCACCGACTTGGCGCCGCGCTCGCAGTCGAGCATTTGTACCGTGACTTTCGCGAAGATGAATTGCTTGTGCAGACGTTTGCCTTGCCGTGGACCAAGCACTTGCTGCTCGCGCTCAAGCGCCAAGACAACGGCCTCGACGGTATGCACGTGACGACGACGCGTCTCTTGCGTGCGATCGACCACTTGGAAAAGATTGTCGTGCGCTGCAGCACGATGCTGACGGCGCCGCGTCACGGCGACGCCGAGTGCGCGAGTTTGTCGCAGTTTGTGACGTGGCTCTTTACACAGAGTGCAAGTCCGCAAGCGGCTTTCCGGAACTGCTGCCAGCGCCTCTTTATGGTGCTCGCGCGCGCCGATGGCCGTGGCGGCAGCTGCCGCGCGTGGCTGCAGCAGTACCTGGAGACGCACGCTATGCACAGCGTCGTTGATGCGGTTGTTGCACCGACCGAGCTCATTGCTGCGTCGGATTCCGATGGTTGGTGCGACACGCTGGCGGCGTCGACCGAGGCCGTTGCGTGGCTGGCGGCACCGACGCTCAACAACCAAAGCCTCTTGCCAGATGCTGCGTGGGCAGCTCCAACCAAGAAGCGACACGCGGAAGGCGAATCCAGTGTCGAGCAGCCAACGCGTCTCTGGGCGGCCGTCAAGCGGTTCGTCGACGATTCTGGCGTCACGGGGTCGCCGGCCGCGCGGTCCCGCGCGTGGCGTGGCCTCTGTCGCCTTCTCTTGGTGATTCTCGAGCACAAGGCCGTCGTACCAACGCTCGCGGCGCAGTGGGATTGCACCAACTTGAGTGCGCGCGTCATGCAAATGCTCGTCCTGTCGCGCCTTGACCCTGCGGCCGTCCAAATGGAGCCGCTCTCCCGTGACGCCGAGACCGTGTGGACGGCGCTTTGCGCCGCGTTCTTGCGCGACCTGGCGTCGTCGATCGCCTTCCGGTCGGTGCTGAATCGGCTCCTCCATCAAAACGAGACGTATGCCCGAAGTCGCGTCGTGTCCATGGCCCCGTCGCTGGCCAACGGCGTCTGCGCGCTATACCAGCAGGTAGTATACCTTTCTCTGCCTATACCAATCATTGGTCTCTAGCTGCACGCGCTGCGGTACTGGAGCGGGCTTGATGACGAAGCGTCTGCCATCGCGACCGAGCTCGGTGACACCGCGCTCACGTACTTTCTTCAGAGCCAACAGGAGCGGTCGCCCATCACGGACCACGTCGCTTTGCACGTCCTCGAGGTATGTCGGCGTGACGTGTGCGCTGGAGCTATCATCATCGGTTGTAGACGGCTGTCGTTTTTGGGTGGGATCTTCCGGGGCACCTCTTGTGCGAGACCACGCAGCCTGTCTCGGCGCTGTCGCTTCCGCGCTTGCAGCACCTTGTCGTTGGCCACGCGCCGCTCTGGCTATCGCTCACGCAGCGCACCCTGGTGCATGTGCAGCGTTATCTGCTGTTCGTACCGCTGCTCGAGATGTTATTGGCGGCCCGCCCGCCGACGAAAGCGGAATGTGCTGCGTTGGCGCCGACTGTCGGGCCGTTGGCTGCAGCGTGCTTTGCAGCGTCCGATGCGACACTGCTCGGCGTTCTTGCGACGCTTCTCGCACGTCTGAACGGCAAGGTCCAAGACGCAAACGTGGACCTGGCTGCCCGCGTGCACGCTTCGCTGACATCGCATGCGACACCCGCCCCGTTCAAACTAGCGGTGCTGCACCTCGTCCCGGCCCTCGCGCGCCACGATAGCGCGACAGCGACCACGATGGCCGACGCGCTGCACCACCTCGTGGTCCACGACCTCCCGCTCGTTTCGAGCGACGTGACCAAAGGCACGCTGGCGTACGACACGTACTCGGCCCTCTTTGCTGCCGTCTTGTCGGCGTTCCGTCAGAGCCACCGCTTGGCGCTGCTCTCGCCGCTGTATCCGAGTTTGAAGGAAGGCAAGTCGCACGCGCTGTATGCGGATCTGCACGACGCCTTGGCCGATTTTGTCGCCTCAATCCCGCTTGACGATGTCAGCGCGGTTAGCATGGACACGTTACAGATGCTCTTTGACGTGACCGTCGACGAGAGTGTGCGCTGGCAAGTGTTTTTGAGCGTGGCGCGGCCGCTCCTGCGTCGGCTACCAGCCCCGGAGGCGTTCTTTGCGCGCACATTTCAAGGAGCGAGCGTCGTCGCGACCCTCATGCGGTCGCTCGACCGCCCCGAGACGTTGCTTCAGCGTCTGGCGCTTGGCCTTCTCGAGTGTTTGTACGACGTGGTGCCCCCCGAGCGCATTCGGTCGAGTGTGAACGCAGCGTTTTTACCACCAAGCACGAGTGGCAAGGGCAACGAGCTCACGATGCGGCTGTGCAAGACGGCGTCGACCAAGATTGGGCTGCCCGAGGTCGCGATCGCGGCGTACCGCTGTCTTCTCATGACGGTGCGCAAGACACAAACACAGGAGAAGTTCTACACGCAGCTGCTCTTCCCCGACACGATGTGGAGTACGATCCTCGCCGGTGCGTCGTTTGAGCTCATGACCGAGACAAGCTGGACGACCAAGAGACAGACGCCCAAGCCGACGACGCTGCAACTCGGGGGCGTGACGCTCTCGAGCCAGTTTCTGGAAGGCAGCAGCTTGAGTCAGACCCCCGAGGTGCCACATGTGACAACGGACGTACCGATGGATGCCGATCTGGACCTCGAACTCGATGTGGTCAACGCACATCCGTGCATGAAGCCGCTCGTGCAGACGCTCGTGACGATCGAGACGCTGTTTCAAGGCACGTGGTCGTCGTCCGTGGCGCCCCCCTGGATGGAGAAGCTCCGCACGCAGCTTCAATTTTCCGATGCGCTGCCCGTTCGGACGTTTGTGCTCAAGCTCGTGCTCAATCGCCCGCGCCTCTTTGCGCCGTACGCTGCGTCGTGGCTCAGTCCGATGACCAACGCGGTGATCGCACTCCCGCAGACCGATCAGTTTCACTACCTCTTGCGCGACGTGTGCCATCTGCTGCTCACCCCCGTGGCCGACGACATGGCACTGGGGCTCTGGACGAGTGCGGCGCGGGCGCATGCCTCCGACATGTCGCCGTTCGTGAACCACTTGGTGCGTGTGAGCGTGCATGCCTCTGCGTGGATTCTGCGCGACAACTTGTACTTGGTCGAGACCGCGCTGCGGACGTGGACCTGCTACACGATCGATATCCATTCGATTCTGGCGTACTTGACGGACGAAGGTGTTGGCGAGACCAAGGCGATGGCGGCCAAGCACACGACGGGCCTGCACCTGACCGCAATGCTCGTGTCGATTGGGTTTTTAGAGGCGGCGCCCAACGTGCACTACCAGGCGGTAGTGCGAAGTGGCCAGCTGTCGCTCGAAGCCGCGCTTCTGACGCGTATTTCGGGGGCCCACAAGGCGACACCGGCGCTCGCCGCCGACGTGGCCGGTCGCCTGCTCCACGCACTGCCGTCGATCGACATGGAAGAGAAGCTCCAGCACCTGCTGGTGCAGTTTTTTCAGAACGACGACAAGCCGAACCGGTGTCTCACGGTCCTCAAGCAGCTCTCGGCGCACGTGCCGTCGCTCGTGCTGGACCAAGCGTGGATGCACCGGCTCCAGTCGATGTTGCCCCGCGTCTGGTCGATCGACGCACTGGCCTGCGACACGCTCGACATTCTTCTGCATGCGCTACAGAGCTCGAAACTCCAAGCCACGGATGTGTTTTTGCTGCTTCGGCCGTCGCTGCCCAAGGTGCTGCGGCACCGGTCGCCGCTCGTGACGCAGCGCGCGCTGGCCTTTCTCATCGGTCTCTGGCCCGACTTGCCGGACGAGAGTCGGTCGGTGGTCGTGCACAGCGCCGATGCAAGTGTGCTGCTCATGCACTTTGACGACGATTTGACGCGGCGCCAATGGTTGGAGTTTCTCATGTCGTCGGGCTACAGCCACGTCCAGAGCGTCCAGTCGATCCTCCTGCGCGGGCTCACGGACGCCAACGAATCCATTCGGTCGGCGTGCGTCGGGTTTTGGGCGGCGCAACTGCCCTCTGGCCCCGACCGCTTGCTCGCACTGGCGTCGGCCACCTATCAGAGCGGCGACAACTGGGTGCGCTACGTCCCGACGCTGTGGCTGTATGATGTCGAGAACGGGTCGACCAAGCTCTTTGACGCGCCCTTGAGTGCGTCCTGCGTGTTTGAGCCCATGAGCATTGACACGGCGTGGGCCGCACGCACCCAAGGGAGCTTGACGCCACTCTTCTCGCAGGATGCGCTCACGCTGCAAAGCCAGCCGGTCTTGGAGCAGCAAGCACGCATGGTCAAGGCGACGCAAGATCGAGCGTGGTCCCAGACGCAGTCGCAGCAGTACGTGCCGTCCACTGGTACATTCCTACTCGGGTTGTATCGAGACGAGGTCGCTTATGCGTTGGCACGTAGCGTACGCGGTGGCCCATAGCAGCAAGGCCGTGACGAAGCGCTTCTCGGCGGCAGCACGCGCCTCGTCCGACTCGGCGCTCTCGAGCTCGGTCAAGGACAAGCTCTTCTTTACGCTCCACGCGAGCCGCACCAAGCAGTTTGCCTCGGCACAGAAGCGCGCGGAAGCCCACCAAGGGGCGCACGTCCCGCTGTACCGAAGCTACCGCGCGGGCGAGCTGCCAGACATTGAAATTGCGCGGAATGACGTCCTTGGACCGCTGCTCGCGGTCGCGCAGCTCCACGCCAAGACGGCGACCCTGCTTTTGTGTGCTCTTTTGACGGCGTTTCTCGAGCACGTGCCGGGACCGTACGTCACCGACTTGGCGACGCATTTGACGCGCCTTTTGGCGGCCTCGCCCGACAAGGCGGTCCTCGTCGCAAGCGTCCAAGAGTGTCTCTTGACACTGGTGACGGCTGGCGGCATCGATCCCACGATCGTTGGGGCCGCCAGCGTCGCCTCTCTCAACGTTGTGACAGGCCAGCTTCTCTTGGAAGAGCTTGTGCTGCAGTCGCCGACGCCGTCGGCGTGGACAGAGCTCCAGCACGTGCTCCAAGTGGTCGAGAACGAGCCGCTGCGCATGGCCGTTGCGTCGGCGCTCAACGCGCAGCTGCCTGAGGCCACGAAGGCACTCGAGGCCCAACTAAAAGGCGACGTTCTCGGTGCGATCAAGCTCTACGGGGCGGCCGAAGCCAAACTCCAAGCCAATGTCGCGTCGTGCTCGCCGAAGGAGCGACAACGCTGGGCGACGGAGCGCATCAGCTGCATCGCGCAACTCAACAAGTGGGACGCTCTGGCGTCCGAACTGGCCGTTGACGATGTGTGGTCGCTGCCCGAGCCTTTCCGCGGACAGCAAGTGCGTCATCTCGTCATGGCATATGGTGCGACAGACCAAGTGGAGACGCTACTGACGCACATGACGCCCGACCGCCTCTCGGACGTTGCGCGAACATGTCCGGAGCTCTTTGGCTTTGTGCAGCTCCAGGGCCCACGGCCGCAGGACGCAATCGCGACCGTCGAGCACTTTTTCGCAGAGTGCGTCGCGCAGTGGACGAGTTTGCCGGCGTGCTATCGCCTGCGCCAGCTGCAGCGACTGCCGCTTGTCGTGCATCTCGAGTCGCTTCTGCGCGTGCATGCGGCGACAGACGTTGCTCCGTGCATGCAGCAGTGGGTGAGCGTGACGCCGCTTCAAGACGACGCGCTCTCGGTGTGGTCGGCCCACTACTGGAGCCGCACGCTCGGGTACGAGCGGCTGACCGCCTTGGGCGGTGAGTGGGGCGGCCTTCCCGACTTGAATCATACCATTGCGACCCTCCGTGTGCAGGTAAACTGCCAAGGCGAGGACGAGAAACACGATGTGCGTGTAGGACATGCTCATGTACGCGCACGCAGCGGTCTCGAGCAACGTGCTTGCGCTCGCGTCGCGCCTCCTCAGCGACTACCGGCAAACGTGCACGAGTGCGCAGCTGCCCAAGCTGAGCGTCTACATGGTCCAGGTGTACGTCGCGCAGGTCTCCAAGCTCGCCACGCGCACGCTGCAGAGCTCGCTCGTGCTGCCACCGAATGCCCGCGCAAAAGGGCTCAGTCAAGTCGCGCAGTACTACGTCTCGATGCTGCGGCTGTTTGAAAACGACGAAGTCGCTGCGCTCCTGCCGACCATGCCACAGGATGTGCAGCGGGACGTCCGAGGTCTGCATGTGCACGCCCTCGCGTCGGCGTCGAGCTTTCACCAGCAACATGGCGATGCCGCCCTCGGTCGACAGTGTGCACTGGACGCTCTCGAGCGGTTTGACGCTGACCAGCTGCCCGGCGCGCTCTCGTCCATGCACGGGCCGTTCCTGTCGTTTCTGGACAAGTGGGTCGAGCATGCCCCTACGGACGGACGCCTCAGTCGGTCGTTTGTCACGAGTGTGCTTCACGGTATGACGATGGCTGACGAGATGAGTGCCAAGTACCTTCCCCGCGTCCTCGACCTCGTCCAAGCCCGAGACGAGTTGCTGCCGCTCGTCGCCGAGAGGATGGCGCACGTGCCGATGTGGACGTGTCTCCACTGGTCGGCGCAGATCATTGCCCTCTTGCAGCCCAACGCGACACCATTTGACGACTTTATTCGCAGCCTCCTCGAAAAGGTATTCCATGGTCGCAGGCTTCAACGCGACTAACTAGCTAGTATGTAGTTGGCGACCGAGTACCCGCGTGCGCTCTACTATGACTTTTGCCTCACCTCCGAGTCGATGGTGTTGGGTCCCCGCTTCGATACGCTCCGCGCGCTGCTCCAAAATGCGGCCATGGACCAGTTTGTTGCGGCGCTGAACGGGTACGCACTTCGTCGATCGTCTGTGTCGTAGCGAGGTGTGTAGGTTGCACCACCCCGAGATTCGGTTCAAGGAAGGGATTCGGCAGCTGCTGGACGCGATCGAGACGCGCCCAGCGGCGGAGGTCGCGGCGCTTGCAAAAGCGCTAGCGGCCAACGTGTTGGACGGCAACGGCGACGTCCTCGGGCACTCGAACATCGGCGCGTACAACCGGTCGTGGGCCAAGACGCACCGCAAGAGCGTCGAGAATTTCTTGGCCAAACCCACAAAAGCATCGCTGACGCAAGCGCGGGCGTGGATCACGAGCGTCTTTCAAGTCGTGCCCGGCAAGTACGGCATTGACCGCCAGTGGAAGGCCAAAGTCGCCGACTTTTCCGAGTGGCTCAGCCGACTGGACCCGACCAAGACGCGCATTGAGCTCCCGGGCCAGTACACGTCGCGTAGGCTGTGTCATTGCCCTTGGACGATGAAGTATGATGGAGTATGGTGTAGGCTGGGCCAAGCCCGAGCCGACGGCGCATGCCACCATCTTGAGCTGCGCGCCGCAGCTGCTCGTGCTCGCGTCCAAGCAGCTGCCCAAGCGCATCACGTTCCACGCGAGCAACGGCGCCTCGTACCAGTTTCTCGTCAAGGTCGCCCGACGATGCTTGCTTTGGCTAACCGCTAATAGGGAGGCGAAGACTTGCGGCTGGACCAGCGCATTGAGCAGCTGTTTGAGGTCATGAGCACCATCTTGCAGTCGCACCCGTCGTGCCAGCGCCGACACGACCTGGCGATTCGAACCTACAAGGTACCACCGCCATGACGATGCAGCATTTCTAAGTTGCGCCAGGTGGTGCCCATGACGACGCGGATCGGGCTCGTCGAGTGGCTCAGCAACACGACTACGCTCAAGTCGGTCCTCGAAGACGAGATGCAGTTGGCGTCAACCGCGAAGCGCTCCGCCAGCTTCCACCTCCTCAGTTCTCCGTCGGGCGAAAAGTACGAGGCGTTTTGGACCAAGCAGCAGAAGAGCAAGCTCTCGTACGGCCAAAAGATTGGGGCTGCGTCCCAAGACGACGTCGTGCCGGCCTTTGAAGCCGCGCAAGCGCTTCTGCCGCCGAGTCTCTTTCGCCGGCGACTGCTTCGCATGGCATCGTCGCCCGATGCATTCTTCACGCTGCGCAGCACGTTTCAATCGACGCTTGCGGCCTTCAACGGAGCTTCGTACATCCTCGGGATCGGTGACCGGCATCTCGACAACTTTTTGCTCGACACGACCACTGGAAGCGTGATTGGCATTGACTTTGGCATTAGCTTTGGCGCCGGTGCGAGCTTGCTGCCCGTGCCCGAGCTCGTGCCGTTCCGCTTCACGCGTCAAATGGAGGGCGTGAGCGCGCCGTACGACGGCCGCCACCTCTTGCAGATGGACCTCGCGGTCGTGCTCGAAGCGCTGCGGGACAACCAGTCGCATATCGACAGCGTCATGAACGTGTTTTTGCACGAGCCGCTTCTCGAGTGGCAAGCGATGCCAAAGAAAACCAAGACGCAAAAGAAGGAGCGCAAGGCGGCACCGCGGGAGGAGTCGCTCGAGGTCAATGTCGCCGCGACCAAGATGCGACTGGCCCGCGACAAGCTGCTGGGGAAGCCACCCCGCGCAATCGTCGCCAACGAAGTCCGGCTCAACGTGCACGTGGCGCCGGTGCTGGCTGCGTTTGAAAAGCTCTTGGCGTGCGAGAACGACGACGCGCTCTTGTCGCCGCTCGACCAGGCGCAGGCGCTCATCGAGCTCGCGACCGACCCCAATATCCTCGGCCGCACCTTCCACGGCTGGAGTCCGTGGGCGTAGATCGTCCGACGTCGTAAGAAGACCAATGCACTGTGTATGGTCGCCGTTGGTCATCGCCGCACTACGTCGATTCGCTGGTTACAGCAGGAGACGATCTTGTCGAAATTCGAATGATGCGCCATCGTGGATTGGTGGATCTAAAAAATGATTCGCCAATGGGATGCGGCGGATTTGGCAACCCCCAGCCGTCACGACGAACGTTGACCTCGTTGGTCCTCTTTGTGATGCACTTCTGGACTAGCCTTTGCCGCGCGGTATGCGGTATGCTAGGATGACTACTTACAGTGCTCTTACTTATGACGTTTAATGGAGGCTGCCGCGACAGAGCGGGCACGAGTGATCTTTTGCAAGCCACGGTAGGACGCAGTCGCAGTGGAAGACATGGCCGCACGGCAGCGTGACCGGGGCCGCGAGGCCGACGCCGTCCATGTCGAGCTCGCTCAAGCAAATGGAGCAGTCGCCGTCGTCAAGAAAGGACGGACGCCACGACGCCGAGAGCGACGACGCGCGCGGTTCTTGCTGCAGCAAGAGCAGCAGCGCCGTCGCCTTCTTGCGTTGCTCGTCCTTTTGGAGCGGCGGTATCTCTAAAAAGGCGTCGAGGAGCTCGAGCAGCTCGGTGCAGCGACTTTGCACGGCCAAATTAGCGTTCGACTCGAAGACGACCGTATGTAAATACAAGGACGTGCGCACCTCGAGACACGCGTAGAGGAAGAGCTTGAGCTTGTGCTTGCGCTCGCCGACGATGCGCTTGGCGTCAAAGAGGCTCTTTTTCGGAAAGTCGATCGCAAGCAGCGGCGCCACGTGGATAGCCACGTTGGGTGGCACGCGCTCCATGGCCCTGAGCAGCGTCGCCTTGAAGCGGTGGCACTCCGAGTACCGGCGGTCAATCGCCCAGCGCGCGGTCGGTGACGCGACGATCGTGTACGTGTAGTTGGTGTAGGCCGACCCGCCGCGCAGCCGGACGCGCGACGCATGCGCCGTGAGCGCAACATGCTTGAGCGTCTCGTGCTCGAGGTCGCGGAGCCGGCCAAACCAGCCGTGGCGCGGGTCCCGGGCCATCGTCATCTTCGTTGCAGTTGCCAGGCAGTAGATGGTCAACTGCCGCGGATCTTGCTATAAATATGCACGAGCCAAACATCTTGGGTTTCGTATGCGTCCGGATCAGATGGCCGAGTCCTGGGAAACCGCTCGAGGCAACTGCGCTTGGCACCGCGCCGCTCCCCGCTTCTGCCGTCTGGAGCAGAGAAGACCAGCACGATACCCTATTCAAGTCGATCGCTCTCGTCTGCGCTCGGCTCGCCCCAAGCTCATGGCGATGGTTCATCGGCGTCGGTCGGACGGTTGCTAGTTGAAGTTGGGCTACAGAACATGAACGGAAGAAGCCATAGCTACTCTCATGGCAAAGCAACCTGCCACCACCCACACGGACTCGACTAGGAGCTCCACGGTGGCATGTGTAAGATCATTTGTCCTTTGTTGATCGAGCCTATTCTACGCGCCTACGAAGGCTCTTGGTCCTCTTTCGACCGAGACAGGATGGGTGTCGATGGTGCAACGTAGATATCGTTAACGCTCCTCCATGTAGCTACCACCGCTGTGTTGTGCCACGCGCCAAAGAACAAAAGGCGGTTGACAAAGCCTCTCGAAGCTTCTCGTGCTTGAAGTTGCACCGCAGCCACCGGTCTGCATGAAACGGCATGAGCTTGAGCTCAGCATGGCGAGTACTTGCGACCCGAGATCGCTTACTCTGTGACAGCAAGCTGTGTGACCTGTATTGTCCGTCACGTGACCGCGACTGCTCGCTTTCGAAGCGTATCAGCGTGGCACCAGACCCGACTTGGGACCACTGCTTCACGTGCGCTCGCGTGATGGGAGTGGGCTCAGCCGAGACGGTACACCGCGTATGTGACGGCTGCAGGGCGACGTTGACGTCGCATCTCAAAGGACTTTGCCATCATGCATGAGCTAGTCAAGCAGAGGTTGACACGCAACGGTTTCATGTGGTGGGCAAAGTGCGGTCGGCTCGGTCAAGTGCGTTTGCCCAAAAACTGGACATGGCAGACAGGCCCGACGACGGCGCGGACGAGCTCGAGGCCGCGCTGATGGACATGGACCAGAACGAGGTCGCGTACCTCGGCGCGCCACTTGTGCACGTGACGCTCCGGACTCTGCGGCAGCGCGAAGAGACCAAGTTTGTGCTCCAGTACCGCGAGTCGCACGAGATGCGGCAAGATGTCATTGCCGTCGTGCGCGACGCCGCCGACACGCGCCGCCGCGGCCGCCTCGGAGACCGCAGCAGCAACATCTTTGGAGGTCTCTTTACGTCGCTGGCGCGCGTCGAGAAGAACCCGTACGCCCAGCACGCGGACGAGATGTTCTTGGAGCTCATATCGGCACCGTCGACGCCGCCACGCCCGACGACACCGCCCCGCGCCCGATGGTCCGATGCCGTCCCCAAGACGACCAAGGTGCTCCAGCATTTTCAGCAGCTCTTCCAGACGCTGCCAGGTCAGCGCGCCGCGAGTCTCTTGGTCAAGCCCGTCCAGCACTCGCTCTGCAGTGTGCTCTTTGAGTTTGCCGAGATCTTCCACGCCTTGTACGGGACTGTGAGTTCACGCGACGACGCTGCGCACGCCGCACTTGACGTGCGCGAGTTTGGTAGCGTATTGCTGCAAGTGCTGAGCTTCAAGTACCCGCCGCTCCAGCACGATGCGGCGCTTTTGGATGTCGCGACCGAGAGTGTCGAGGACGCGATGTTCCTGCACTTGCAGCCAACTCTCCACAACGTCTTTGCACAGGTCTACCGCACGGACGACAGTGCGTGGAGTGCCAAGCTCGCGCACTTGAGAGCAGCGCCAATCGACACATACGACATGCCGGATCGGTTCCAAGCCCCTTTGTACGACGACGCGATCGAGGTGCTGTCTGCGCTCGGGAATGCGCGAACGCCAAGTGCCAAGGTTCGCTGCGTCGCGGCGACGTGCAGTAGCATTGACCGCTGCATCAAACACTATTTTGCATCCGACCCGAGCATGGCATTGGATCAGCTCAACATGTACGCTACGGGTCCTCGACTGTGTACACTAATATCGGTTTGTAGCTCGGCCGACGACTTGCCCTCGGTGCTGGCGTATGTGGTGGCGCAGGCTGTCGCGACGCACGGCCATCTCGCGTCGTACGTTGCCCTCATGGACGCCTTCTTGCCTCCGCGACTAGAAGCTGGCGAAGAAGGCTATAGCCTCGCCATGCTCCACGCCGCCTTGACACACCTCGAGAGCATCGAGGATTGACTATCTCTGGACATCCCAATGCGATAGTTTAGCAATGTATTTGTGGCTCCTAGCGGTGATACATGGTCACGACGGATTCGGAACCAAGAAATTAGTCTACCTCGGGGATGCGAGTCGCCCACCTCTGGGCACCACAATAATCCCTACTACCAGTAGACAAACAGGTTGCATATTGAACGAGTACGCCCACACTTATGTAAATCAAGAAGTGTTGAGATACGATCGATCGCTGGAAAGACCGACGAGCGCAAAATGCTTGATCCGAAGTATTAGTATTTGACCTTAGCTCTAGGACGCTTTGCAGCGTCTGGACCTGGCTTCTGACGGGTCGGCGCTGGAGTAGGGATATGCGATCTGGGAGGCGAACGACACACATCCGCGTGAGCGATGACGATTCAGTTTTCTGAATGATGGTGCTCCCAATCGAAATACAATGGCGTTGGCGACAAGTCTATACAACGAGCAAGATGTCATTGACAATTGTGTAAAATAATATCGGCGGCGCTGTTGCTTACACCTATAGATGTCTTTGATTGGCCAAAAAGCACCCTCTGTCGATCAACGATTGGCTGAATTTGGCGTTGGGAAGATCGTAGACGTTGAGCAATTTTTTGGTTCGTGGCGACAATTTATTTTATTTTATTCGCCGGATTTAGCCACCATTTCTCGCTCGACGCTCCCGACCGAGGCCAGCGGCCGGACCATGACGACGATCTTCGACGGCTACGACGAGGAGTACAAGAGCCTTGCGCAGTCCATCTCGGTCAAGATCAGCGAGATCTCTTCCTACGAAGATGCGCCCGGTACGCCATGGCTAGCGGTCGTTTGCTCATGCGACCGTAGACAAGAAGCGGACCGCGATCACGCACGTGGGCGACTTGATCACGCAGGCCACGCAGCTCGTACGCTCGCGCGCGACCATTCCGAGGCTCATGCAAGTTGCATAGATCCAGCAAATGGACCTTGAAGTGCGCAGCCTCGACGCGGCGACGAAGCGCGAGCTCTCCAAGAAGGTCGACCAGTACAAGAAGAGCCTCAAGTCGCTCTCGGACGATCTCAAGCGCATTCGCGAAAAGGAGGAAGAAAACGGGCTCTTTGGCTCGGCTGAAGCCCGAGCACGCATGCAAGGCGCCACGCAAAAGTACGTACACGTCCTGCCACGTGGCAGCGCATCACGCAGCCATTTCTAGGCTCAAACAGACTGGCGACCGCATCTCAGCAGCGCACCAAACGGTGCTCGAGACCGAGGAAACCGGTATCCGCGGGATTATCAGTCGGCATACGCTCATGAACCATCCTCCTACGTAGCCATTGGCATCCAGGAAGAGCTCAGCCGGAACCGAGAAAAGATCGAGTCGACGCACAACAAGGTCAAGTCGGTCAACGACATGGCGCGCGCAGGTGGCCGCATCCTCAACCGCATGTCGGCGCGCGACAAGCGCCAGAAGCTCATCCTGTACGGCGTCATGGGCTTCATGATCCTCGCGATCCTCATTGTACTCTTCTCGACGATCTTTGGTCGACGTCGCTAGCTGCAATCGTCGACGTCGAGGATCCCTCTACAGAGTATCAAGCAGTGTTTTTTATTTTAAACGGCAAAGCGCTCGTTTTGCTCGTGCGAGTAGCGCAGGACGTTTTCCTCGTGGCGGGGCACCGGGTTCGAGTGGCGGAGGTCCACGCGGCGCACTTGCTTCGTCTGGACTTGGCGCGAGATGGCGGCGTAGCCTTCCCGACGCGTCTTGAGTGAGTGCGCGACGACCGCAACCATCGACAAGAGACAGGCCGCGACGATGAGCACATGCAGAAAGAGCTGACCGAATGGCACCGCTGGCGACTCGGACGCGTCTTGGACCGGTAGGAAATCTGGTAGCGGGCGCAATTCTGGCTTGCCGCCTTGGACGCCAGAATCTACAACCAAAATCGTTTCTTTAAGGACTCTTATTGTTAGCATGGTGTCGCACCAAACACTTGGAGACTGTCGACAAGCGTCCAGCGCTGGGTCGCGTTGGCCTGGGACAGCAGGAGTTGGTACTTGGCCACTTGATCAAAATCAAAGTCGCAGACATGGCTACGCATATGCTGCATGAGCCACATAGGATAGAGTTTGCGATCGTACGCATTCGAGGGCGGCGTCGCTTTCTTGTCGTCATGGTTGGACGGCGTAAGGCACGGGGCGACTTGCACTTGCAGCTCCAAGAGGTGGCTCTCGTAAGCGCCGGCCACGGGCTTGTCGACAGCCGACACGATGAGCATTGGCATGACTGGTGACGCCGTGTTGATCATGTGGTTGAGTTGGTCGACGCCGTAGCGAGTGGCGTCTGCTAGCCACGCGCAGCTCGCCGGGGTCGAGGCCAAGAGCTGGCCCGTGCACGGCGAGAGGTCGGTGGCGTGCGTGGCTGCCGCGAAGGCGACGACCGCCGGGCCGCCAAGGAGGCTGGTGGCGGAGACAGCAATGGGCGCGAGCGCCAGACTGATGGCGACGCGCATGCTGCTGGCAGAACGAGATGTGCCAAAGCTTCCGCCAGATCTTTCGAGGTCGAGTGTTCGAAACGGTGCCGATTGGCTCTGTATCCGGATAAGAAATCTTGAATAGTGTGTCTATATATTGCAAATTACATTTTTCAAATAGTGTTTACATATTGGCGAGCAACCGACAAGCTCTAAAGCCGCGCAGCAGGGATCAAAGCACATCGTCGACACTAATCAAGACTACGACAGCATGTAGTCGACACGTCGGCAGCGGGCGATCATACAATCGAGCTGGTCTCGATTGCCGTAGTATCCCATCTCATACTATTCATTGTCAGTGGCGACGGAAACAGTGTATGCTGGGACATGAATGTCCGGATACTCTGGACAAGCTTGTGTGTGTTTTACGTGTGAAACTCGTTTGCACCAAGGTTGACCGATGCTGACCACCAAGCGGCTGCAGTGCTGCACGTGCTAGAGAGCGCACACCAGTCGCTGCAACGAATAGCACACCAAACGCCCAAGCGACTAGCAATATTCTAGCGCGACGGCGGTCCAAGCTGGTGAAAAATGCGAGGCGCTTTGTTATTTTCACGTGCAAATATATGTGTCGCACGTGGTATTCACGACCCGTGAAAAAGGTGGGTAAGACACACAATCTTGTTGGAGCGTCGGTCATGGCCAGCACGACCAAGCCGTCGCCGCTCCGGCGCGAGGCCGAAGACCGCGTCCGCCTCCGGCGCGAGGAGCTCAAGAAGCTCTGCGTCGTGCAGGACGTCAAGAACCACGTGTCGCTCGCCAAGTACTTTCAGCGCGCCCACGTCATGTACCGCCAGTGCCAGCTCTACGCCATCCAGCGCGACTACGACCACGCGTACGCCGACGCGTTGCGCTCTACACGCTCTCATGCTTCTCGACCCTATGTAGGTACATCTACCTCTGGCTCATGGTCCTGTACGTTGCGCCATGCGCCTACTTGCATCGCGTCATGCGCCGTCTGTCGTAGGCTCTTCCAGTACCGTATCCCGCAGCATCGCGAGTACCATCAGACCAAGTACGCGGCCGAGAAGGCCCGATTGAACGACGTAGCGCATTGACATTGACGCACGAAGGCTCATCGACCGCTGCGTGTAGAAGTGCAAGCAGGCGATGCAACTCCTCGACCAGATCCTCGATGGCATGCTCCAAGAGGAGCTCGACCAGCTGCAACAGACCCACGAAGACGAGTACTTTATCCTCCAGCACGAAGAAGCACA